TTTTTTGCTCCTTTCAGCCCGTTTACTTCTTTCAACCCACTCTTGACACGCACTTCAAATAGTCAATGTTACTTTCCTTCTTATGCCCATATTCATGTTTCAGTATCCCGGAAGCCTGTTCTTTTTTGGGTATTTGCGAGCACTAAGTCTGGAGGGAGCTACCGTCAAGGCGATTCAAATTCAACCTCATGGCTGATATTTAGAGACAGTCGTTTGGCTACGGGCGCCTACCCAGTAATGATAGTTGCATTCAGACGGAATAAAGCGCCACATATCCTTCGTTTACGTCGTCATCAAGGCATTCACATGGCTTGTTAACTTATTGAATGGCGACTTCTCAAACGGGACGTTCACTCTTGTGAAGTATCCCCCCTCTAAACTACTTAGTTTGTTGGTGGCTTGCGGACACCTGGGCATTTTCCAGTCAAGATTTCGTTTGCTGGTTGCAGAGTAGCCAGTAAGCTCACAAGCATGAGTAATTGAATCGGTTGATGTAAGAACCACATACTTTGTAAGTAGCTATAGCTGCCACAGTTTCGTTCACCGATATTCGGAGAGGCAGGTTAGGTAGCTGCTCATTGAAGGTGGGAGCTGATTTAGTTGATGCACAAGAAGAGGGTTGTCGTTGTACTTTTAAGTGGAGAGATTTGGGACAGAGCTGTAAATTGCAGGCAATTTCTTGGATTCATGATCGCTAGTGTAGGTATGACTGGACCATGTTTGACAATGTCTCTAGCCACTGATATACTCCCTCTCGGGGGCCCCATTCAGGGAGACTTCAATGGCCAGCGCAGCTGATTTCGGTGATAGTGCCTTTCATACTTCGCCGCCAATTCATTGTTTGATCTCTGCTGGCTCGTCTTCACTCTTCGCGTGGTTCTGAGAAGAGGACCTCTCGATTAAGTCGGTCGACTGGCATATGGAGCTGGCCAAGCCAGTGCGACCTATCCAGTTTGACCAGTTCATCTGTAATGGGAGAGTTATCTCCGCCGAAATCCTTTGACGTACTTCAGCACTGCTGATCTAGTGCTCCAAACGGACTCGGGAAATAATCCAAGGACTTGGATGAATAAACGCTAAAAGTCTTTCGGTGTCTCCGGCGCGCAGCGGTCAGGTTTCCGACCCGTATGATAATATGGAGCGCACCGCAGCATTGTAACCGCGGCCGTTGGCGGATTAATTAATGTCATACCTATGCCACAGCTGGTGCAGTTTCACAAGAGTTGCTCTGGCCTTACCGATCTGGATGGGATATCATCGTTCGGGAGACCACCGTGACTGATATGGCTGCCAAGTTAGAAAAATTTGTCTACTAACTCATTGGGCCCATCTGCAAGCATGAGGTTAGGATTCGAGCCCAAGCAGTCTTGCAGTAGTACTTTTTGCTTTGCAGATGTGAAGCGTATACCAGACCGTGGGGCAGAATTATGTAGACTATTTAATATTGTTTGCAGTACCACAAGGTAAGATCCAAGAAGAGCTTTGTCATTTGCGAACTCGATATCTGTGAGCGGACGCCCCGGCAGTGCGACCCCACAGGTATTAGAGGCTGATAGTGAGTCCTCCATAACCGTTTCAATGATGGAGTTGAGGAAGAAAAGTGGAAGGACAGCCCTGTCTGTCTGATGTGGTGAACTCAGGCGAGTGCCTCCCGCAAACCTTCACACGGCCGCGGAAGTTGGCGTACAGCGCCTTAAGGAGAGTCAAGAATTTATGGGGGACACTTTTTCTCCACAGACACTGCCATAGTGCCTGACGGTCCACAGAGTCAAAGTCAGCTCTCAGATCAATAAACAACTATTGTTGGTTGCTGGAACCAGTGTCGGTGCTCCAAAATCTGTCGGAAGGTGAAAATGTGATCGACGCAACCGTTGCAGGACTGAATTCAGCTTGGGTTCAATCAACCTTCGAAGGATGAGACCAGAGAGCACATTCGATGCCACAGCTATCAGGCTAATGCCGCGGTGGTTTGCACATAGCGTCCGCGTACCCTTTTCGAAGATAGGAATGACTGTCAACATGCCCTCATTCTGCAGTCACCTTCTCCTCGTTCCATATAGCACCAATAAGCTCTGTCAGATGGGTCACCAGGGATTTTTCGCCTTCTTTGAAGAGAGCTGGATACAGGCCGTCTTGTCTGGGGCGCAGTTAAACTATCACGCCATATATTCCACGAGCCATTACTTCTGGATCACCGGACATATGGAGGGAGAAATTTGAAAGAGCTGAGTTAGTCGTTGGCGCTTTGAGATGTATGATCACGCTTGGGTTTTGTATTTGTGTTCCGGAGACAGAGCTACATCAGTTTCAAGGGTCCAGCGAGCATCCGTGAAAACCGAACTGCGTGGGCTAATTATACTTCTCGGTTACCCAGGTCGAGGAAGGGGGTGTGGTTGAGGTACCCCATCCTGAGCCTTTGACTCGAAAGTGTGACCCACATGGTAGTGGGAGGATGTAGGATTTTATTCAGGGACCCCGACCTTAGCCTCTGACTCAAAAGTGAGGCAGCGGTTAGTAGTGTTTTTTGGGACCCTGTGTAAAGCCGATGGCTCAACAGTCTGACCTGCTGGACCGTATGGTGTTGGCCCAATCCGAGGACATAGTTGTAAGGCATTACTGTCCAGCTCTTAATGCGGCCGCGTGCAGCAGGCGCCTTTTGAGTAGCACCGGACACTGGTTTTAAAAGTACTTCGACCGTATTGAACAGTGCACCGGCGTGTAAGGCATTACTGTCCAGCTCTTAATGCGGCCGCGTGCAGCAGGCGCCTTTTGAGTAGCACCGGACACTGGTTTTAAAAGTACTTCGACCGTATTGAACAGTGCACCGGCGGTCACGGTCAACCGCTGAGCCAGACATTTTCTAACTCATCCTTCCTCGAGGGACGGCAGCGTTGCTGCTTCCATGAATGTGGACACTGGTAGCCTGTAAAGAACCCTTCACTACCTTCACTCTCCTATCCCAGAGGACCGTAAGGCTTACTCCCTAGACCGCCTCGTAGCCAGACCACCATGTCAAGGTAGCAGCTTTAGGTCGGGATACGACCACCAAGTAAACATGATCTCGCATCTTCTGAAAAAAAGGGGACAACAAGGATCCGTGTCTGACGTAATGACTGGTGGCCAAAGAACCGTCCATTACTAGGTGGCGCGTTGGCGTATTCCACACTTGTGTTTCACTTATCCTGAACTTCACTCACACGCACACCCACCAATTTTCATGCCATTTTGGTCCAAGGGACAACTCATGAACTGAAGAGAGTCTACCAATCGGGAGTTTGTTGGACGGTTGGTTCCGTAGGCTCTGGGGGTGCTGAGTTCACCGAATTCGTATCACCAGGTCGGAGTATTGCATCGTTAAATGTGATTTAGCCGACAACCAAGCAGCATTCTACTCCGTGAAATATGCGTCCACTGTAAACATCGTGCAAGCCCCCTTTATGTTGCACTACCCATCTTCAGTTACTCTACGGTCACCATATAGGGGATTAAGCCGTATCCCACGGAGCTCTTCACTTAATCAACTGCCCACCTAAGTCACAATCATCATCATTGTCAGCTGTAAGAACCACGTACTCTGTTGTGCTCGACAAGGGATGGAATGCATCAAAAAACAGAATAAGATCGGAAAGACTGAGAGGCCAGCAACTAGGCTTTATTCCGCACCTTACGGGGCCCTGAAAAACGAAGGGGGAGGCGACGACGGTTGCTTGCGTCGTGGGAAGCCACAAATGTGGTCCAAAACGAGTGGTATTTGGTTATTGATCCAGGCCATCGGTAACTGATGGCAAGGTGATCAATTTTAGTTCATAGCCGGAACGCCGTTGGTGGACATCTTTTGGCCAGCTGACCGGCTATTTTGGAGGCTAGTACTGCTGAAATGCAACCAGCGGTCAGCATGCCACAGCTGAAGCAATCGCTCACCATTGTCTGTACGTACCGAGTCCAATCCATGTCGACCACCTAATTGAGTCTCATTGTGCATCCAGATATCCGTCCACCACAACGATAACGGAGCTTCTAGCTCGCCGCAATTCGGCCTTTAGTGCATCATTAAGCTTGTTTTTGGTGGTGCCAGATCTACATCTGGTTCGGAAAGTACGGTCACAACAGACGGGCATCGACCAACTTTTTTCTTCACAGACGTTGCCAGACGAGCTGCACAGAGGTGACTATAGACACATATCCAGTCAAGCAAGTATCCTTCCACTCGGTGACTTAGGATGATACCAGCCCCTGCACATCTTGCTGCACTAGTCTCTAGATCGTCAGAGGTTCACAGCCGGAAGCGAGTGGAAAATGATGGGGCGGTTAGCTCAGTTAATATGCTTACATCGTGAAGTCTTGTTTCCGAAACATCGCATATGTTTGATGAGTCTAGTTTATGGGCCAGAGCAGCTTGTTGTCCTGCTTGTTGCAGAGTTTGGACATTAAAGGAAGTCAGAGAGACAGCGTCGAGCCCTGAAGATTGATTTCGTGATGCTGGATTACGCGCAGATGTTGCTTGCAAAGCCAATGCAGAACGAACAGAGTCATCAGTCGCGGGTTCAAGAGGAGAACGCTATTAATTGGGTGGTGGAGGCAGTAGTTTATTTTCGCTTACCTGCCCTGCTGTATGCAACAAGTAAGGCGGCCTGGCTGATGTTACTACGCTGTTGATGGCCACTTTATCACTCTACTCCTAGAACATATGGGTTATGATGTATGGTTCAAGTAACACGATCGTGAACTGCACGCAATGCGTGGATAAAGGAGTCATCCCGCAGAAGTGAAATGTAGAGGACAGTGAAAGTGCAAAGCAGCCAACCTCTTGCCCGTGCAGAAACCTTTCCAACTCTGGCTTGAAATACAAGTACCATGAGATGCTTTCTGCCAAAATTTCTCGCTTAGGCACTAGATTATTTTTTTCTCAATATCCGTCTCCCGAGGTGTTTCCATTTTTATTTTCAGCAGTTTAGTAGAATAGCTCAACCCATGCAAGTTGGCGTCTGTCAGAACTTTTGGTGAGAATGCCACAGCTCTGTCTTTTAAGAGAGTGCGTTTCCGAAGAAGTGCTTCCAAGAAGAGCTCAATTTAGAATACGTACGTATACACATGAATATATATATATATATATATATATATATATATAATGAACAAGCAGTACAAGCCTGTGTTGCGCTAACTTTGCATGCATTTAGTAGGTTTTTTGATACTGGCTTAGTTTGAACCAATAGTTGATTTTCGGACAGGTCTCAGACATTTGCATGAATGTGTTGGGTGAAGAAATGATGGAGGGTCAAGAAAGAGTGCAGTGCATTGTAAGAAAAAAATCACGCAATCTTGGCATTCTTTTAATGCACGCATGTTACGTAATCCGAAAGGACCGCGACATCTGAGAAACCTCTATGTTTTCTCGATAGATAGCAATCGGAAGGCTAGTGGAGGGTTCAAACGATGGGTCTTCTGATCAGTACTTAGCGCCTTTAGCGTAGGGTTCTTTCGTCTGGTTTTAAGGTAATGCGTTTTGGGATTAGCTAATGGTCGCATGTCAGACGCTTAGACAACATAAACCATGATGGGTGTGTCGCATGTCACGCCTGCCTATTTACTGTTCTTATTCCTTTAGAACGGTTAAGGTGCAGACAGGTGTTCGAAAGATATTTCAGACGCAGTTGGTGGGGTTCTCTTTGCATACCTCAGCCTTCCCTCCGATTGGTTCGAGACAGTGTGAGATGTGACCGCTCACTGATGTCAGTGACATCGGTCTCTTTGCGGACTGTCGGATTGAGTGTTGAGGGATGTGGACAACTCGCGGCATTCTGATACCAAATTGCTGACCTATTTTTTTCGTTTCACTTTTTGTTTCGTTTTCACTTCAGAACCGAACCGAAGCAGTACTGCAAAAGCTGATTCTGCTGCCTTTGGAGACAATGCTACATGCAGACTGTGCGCACGACAAATTCACGAAACTGACGGCATATTTGTCGAGTGAGTTTCCTAGCCCATGCTTATGCCGAGATTGAGATTGCTGTTTTGAGCAGAAACCGGAGACATGGTCGTCCACTGTCCAAACCGAATGGTTATTTGCTTGGCTTCAAGACTGCCTGCGGAATTCGACGTTGGGAACAATTGTTCCCAGTCTTACAGTCTTAAGACTGTAACTCTTGCCACATGCAGCTACTGAGTGTGGTATCTGTAGAGCCAGCTTACCTTCCGACAATATAGAGTAGGACCAAATTGAGTAAATCGATGTCTTAGTAGGGGGTTGAGCTTTCTACTTCGTACAAGTCAGTTTCACTTATAACCCATTTTCACTCCTACTTTCAGGTTAATTTCCTACTCAGCGGATTACGTCAAGGCATCGTTCTCCTCCGGGGATTGGTTGCAAGACGAAAATGTTGATTAGCTCAATCCGTTCGACTGTGGACAGTACCATTGTTTTTATTCTAACTTATACGGCGTACGCCCTTCTTCATGCCAACAGGAAAGCCTTTGGAAATTTGAAACCGGCTATCACGCAGGTATGGACGGCACCGTCTAGAAATGGTTCTGCTCACATGTTGAATTCGTCTGAAATCTGGTCACGATCTCCGTTATTCAATTCACAAGAAAATGCCGCAATGTTTTTGGGAATTTTAGACTCTTTGTTCATGGCATCTTACGCTATTGGTCTTTACGTGAGTGGATGGCTGGGAGATCGCTTCAATCATCGTCTTGTGTTGTGCTTCGGACTTTCTGGTTCCGCACTGATAATCTTCGTGTTTGGAGTTGTGACTGAGTGGACGGGGTTTTATAATCGAACCCTTTATGCGATTTTATGGATACTCAACGGCGTTACCCAGTCTACTGTTTGGCCCTCCTCAGTAGCCATAATGAACCTGTGGTTTGGGCGATTTCGTGGTTTGGTACTTGGGATTTGGACTTCTTGTGCATCAATAGGAAACGTTATTGGAGACTTAGTTGTTGGCCTTGTAGTGTCTTTTGGTTATCATTATGCTTTCCTTGTTCTTTCTGTATGCTTGCTGGGCATCGCGGTTGTGGTGTTTTGCGGCCTACCGGAGTCTCCCAATCGTTACGTACGCATTCATTCTCTATTGTTGTCGGCCAAACTGGATGATGCAAGGCTTCTGTTATCCCAAGAGTCTGAAGGTGACCAAGCACATGAACAAAGTAAACCCCTACCATTCCTCAGCATTCTACTAGTGCCTGATGTGATATCTTGTTCCCTAGCATACGCTTGTATCAAGCTGGTAAACTATGCTATGTTTTTCTGGCTTACTTTTTATCTTACTGAAAACTTCCATTGGTCTAATAGTGATGCTTCAACCTTCTCAGTTTGGTACGACGTAGGTGGGATCCTTGGTGGAATTGCTGCTGGTCTGATTTCTGATGTTGCTAACCGTCACATTTCTCGCCATACGGTTAGTGTTTTCTTTAGTATTGCTGCAATACCCGCCCTTCTAGCATATCGTTTTACGCCCGGTGACCCGAAAGATGTTAATGGTTTGGTGATGGCTCTTGCCGGATTCTTTGTTGGTGGGCCGGCTGTATTGATTAGTGCTGTAATAGCTGGTGATATCGGTCAATATGCGGAGCTCCGGAGCTCTCGCACCCAAGCTACAGTGGCTGGGATTATTGATGGTACTGGCAGTATCGGGGCGGCCATTGGACAACTTCTGATTCCTTTCCTTGGATTTCATTTTAATTGGTCCTTTGTTTTCTATTTATTTACTAGTTGCATGGCCGTCACTTCATTTTGTCTAATTCCGAGTTGGATTAGACACAGGAGACGCATTTTAAGAACACCCGTACCGGTTGTCCACTGTGAGTGATGAGTTGGTTGTGTTTGCTTGAGAGTTATTTTGTTCTTCATCGGTTCTGCTTTTCTGTTCATGATAAGCCAACCTTTGGCCATACCCAACTACATTTTTTATACTTTTTTTGCCAATACATATTTCCTATTCATATGTCTCTAACTTCAAAGCTTATTTTCTATGTAACCAGAGGTGACAAGCACTATAAGAGGCATTCGACTGGCGAAAGACTGGTTGTTGCGCCCATTTTGATTGATAACGTTCTTAAGACTTGAGTCTAGCCGCTGAACTACCCCTCTGTCACAAGCGAGCCAGGAAGTGCTAATAGTTCTCCCTCCTAAAGGGAAACTGGTGTTTTATGAGGATAATATTAGTTCAAGGGTGTATACTACGGGTGGAACATGCGAGTAGTCTCTGTCTGGTGTCCAATCTCCGCCCCCGCACCTGATGAAAGACGAAGTTTACTGCGGAAGTTATGGGACAGCTTTGCAGTGTTTGTTCGTCCTTTTTTAGTATTCAAAGAACGTCCAGTAAAACTCAGGAGGACGCTTGGAGATGTTCACTTTACGAAAACTGTGTAGATAAGATATTTACTTTCGTGTCTGCTGGTTTGTAACGCATTGGTTCGTATTTGCTAAGAAACAACTTCACAGCGAAAGGCGATTATCCTTTCATTGACAGCAACTGAAGCTGGTACCCAAAAATAATAACAGTAACAAAGCTTACGTGTTTTACCGCCAGACCGTGCAGAAGTAGCTCGGAAACACTACTTCAAGACAGCGAAGTAATGATGGAAGCATATTAGTTTTTTGCAGAGGCAAAAAAGTTCCTACTGACCGACATGTGACTCATCAGAGTACTACTGCTATGCGTGCTGTGGATATAGGATCACGAAAAACAGGCACGCCTAAGCATTTTGTAACTTTCACTCGCGTGATATGTACTGACAGAGGCATTAAAATGCCTCGTTTGTATCACGGGCTTGAATTTCTAAGCAGTCTATTAATAGTGCGATTCACAAAGTTATATACTACGTGCACTAGATAGTGCGCTGCTCAGATTCTCATGGTTGTCGTATGCATTCCCTTCTCGTCACCGACAGTAGAAGACTTGGGAAAAAGATCTGTTGGTAAACCTAAACGGTTCGAATGACTCTGTTATCATTATTACCAGAGACAGCAACATCAGTATTGACACTGGTGCTCAGCTGTAGGTCAAATCGAAAGATTCGCAATCAAACTTATTGGAAATGTGCTATTTTCGAGCATATTTTCAACTCCGTCTGCTGTAGTAGGGTAATGCCATTCAGCGGTGTTTTTCGCTTGTCCTAAAATTATTGTCTGCCAAAGGTCCCGTGGTACCGACATTGATATTTCACATTCGCTTATTGCCAGCAGGCTGGGTTGGGAAGTGAACAAAAATCACTCGACGCGGGCAATGCGTTATTGAAATTAACCGCCGCCACCAGATTGATCAGATCTACACTTTTTGGTGTGTCTGTTGCGTGTCCTACTTGGTTGTCATATGCGCATTCAACTGCCGTTCTTACATCAACGACTAATATATCGCTCGGAATAGACTGCTGCTGTGTGAGCACGAGTCGTTTTGTTGAGCTCACAAGTCCTTAGGATTCCAAACTTTGCTAAGTTGTATCACCGGCAGTGTGTGACAATAGCGAAGGCTTTGTAGGGTTGATGGGGCGATGACGGTAGCAGTCATCGAGTCCGTTGCCGGTGCACGGGAAAAACATGCCATGTTTCGCCTACTTTGCAAAGGTGCCTAGGTTTGTTTCTCCGTTTCAGCGTGCAACCCAAAAAGATATCCTACTGTGCATGTGTGGATAAAATATTTATGTGAACTTTGTGTTACATCACATTTGCCACCCAAACGTTGCACGAATCTCCACAGTATCAGTGCTGTTGTACCTCAGATATGATTAAGGGTTATCAATAAGATTTGGGTAGCCTATAGAGTCATTGTTTTCAGAACAAGCCGTCGAGTTGATAGAAGTGGATTTCAAAACTCAAGTACAATTGATGATAGCACCTTGGCACTGATGTGCCTCGTGTCTATAATAGAATCGGTGACACCGCTTAGCGGAACGGCTTGTCACCGGAGAAAGTTCTCAACCGCACCTTTCAGAGCCCTGCTCATTTTGCACGGTTTTTTGATGTTATTAAACGGGTGTAGAAACAACGCGAAACTGGCTACATCAACAAAAGGACGGCTAACCCATTATTGAATCGTTAAGATCGCCTGAATTGCAAATTATTGATCAGTAAACAGTTTCGGTCACTTAGGAAGAACGGACGTAACTGACCTATCTAAACAATATGCACCTTCACTGTACATAAGCTACCAGTGTTACATCGAAGTTCAGAAGCGTTGAAAATAGGTAGAGCGCTGTGATAGCTCCCACGCTTCCGAAAAATATAGGGCTGCCCTGCGACCATATATCGTACGCTTAGAGAAACCGGTGTAATAATGGTTCAGCTGTAACACGGTTTCGGTGCCTAGCTGTCATACAACAACCAAAATAAGCATGAGGGCTAAGATGCAGGTTGTCCAAGCCTAGACGGGAATGGTCGAGGCGCCGGGGTTACTTTCGAAACACGGACCTGGGCAGTAAGCCTTAGCCACTTAACTATCTGAGGCTGGTGTTATGAAATAAGGTGTTTTGATTAGAGGAGTAAGTTTTTTTGAAGCTGATGGTGCTATTTATATTCTTTGCGCCATACGTTAGCCGCATTCTCCAGACCAGTGTAAATCTAGGATTTTAGGTACAAATGTCTGAATGCCAGTGGAGCCATTAATGAAAGTCCTGTAGCGCTTCGGCTCGGTTGTCCTTTGATCGAACAGCAGTAATCAAGCAGTTGTGTTTGCGGTTCTGTACATGCCTTCTGACGCAAGAAATGTAGTAGGAGTGTGAGAAGGAAATAACGTTTCCGAAGAGTCCTCGAGTTCAAACCCCTTCCACCAAAGAGGCCGTTCATGGTGGGTGATATGACGACAAGCATCTTCTATGTAATGTGAGATCCTAGAGGTACTTAAAATTAAACGGTTTCTGTCAAGTCCATTTGTCGACCTCCACCTTTGCAGCTCGTCTGTTCCATGTGCTTTTGTGCTTGTTTCAAGCACCAGAAGTCCCGCCGTGATGAGTGCTTTTTGGAGATCATTTGAAACGCGAGCTTACATTGAATAGTTCCCTGCTGAAAGATGTGCTGTTGTTCCCTCATTGCTCTTTTTTAAACAATTTGGGTGTGGGATTAAGTTGGTTCTAATTCTCCTGATTCTGCCTAGCACTTCAGGAGTCCCCATCGAGGTCTTCAACACAGATGAGGGCGAGGGTAATGGCTAGGGTTAGGTGGCAAGACTCACTTTGAGATATGTAATTTTGAGAAATTCGCTTTTGTGAGCGGATATTAGCTGATTGATGAGTGGTTAGTAGTAGTCATTAATAAAATTGCTCCGAACGGTGCTTCAAGAAAAGCGCTGTTCGACTCCGACTGCAGCATTTACACAAATTTGGTCAACGGGTGTGTGGTCCCTTGAAGGAAGGGTTACGCGATTGACGTAGTCTACATCCATCAGGGGAGCTCTGACAATAGTTCGAGACGCTATGTGGCTAATTTATCCAGGGGCCGACTGCATCTTCGCGCTCAGCAGATAAGCAAAGCGACAAACTGAAAAAAAAGAACTGCAAAGAATAGGGTCCGCAACTTGTCTACCATGAGCATCCGGAGTTATTCTCCGTTTGGGCATTTACTTGATATAAAATCACCTGTATCCATAATGTGCATTTAAGGTAATAGTCACCCTCAGCAAGGAATGGCACGACGATCGGCGACAAAGATGAAACTGCTTAAGCGGGGTCGGAGATGGGCGCCTCTGTTGAGTCGAAACAGCTGCCACGAAACAGTTTTCCAATTAAGCGGACTATTACGTTACCTAGCAACAGCGCTGAATACTCAGTAGAATCTCGTAGGAATCTGCGCTAGGTAGTACGTCTCGAGAATAGACGTTGCTTTTCAACCGAAACGACAGTAATCGTTGGAAGGGTATGCTTTTTGGGCTAGTGGGCCCTGGTACACAGTGAAGCCGAGTTTAGTGAACGAAAATGCTCATCGACACCACCGTGAAATTGCTAATTAGGATCGATTGAGAGGTGTTCAGTGTAGATAGGATGTTTCTTTCTGTGAAAAGTAATTGTGAGCTCAAAGTCAGAAAACATGTAGGCAAGGACATCGGCGTATTGAATACACGCGGCCAGACAGGTATGCCGTGTAAGGGAAAGCAACCAACTGAGTCACATCGAGAAATGCACGCATTTGCAAATCAGTTTGGTTTTCACGAGAGACTCAACTGAATCTTCATGTAGAACATGAGGTTGGCGGAAGCTCGGGGACTGCGCCTACCTGATGAGCCCCGAGAAGGGCGAAGCCGGTCGTGGGCTGTCGAAGAGTTTTCAGCAACCTTGTGAGTAGTTTCCTTTATGAAAACTGAGTCACATGTTCAGACACGCCACTGATTGTCCCCCGACGTGTAGACGAATAGACATGCAGGCGTGCCAATCAACCGGACACGCACCCAATCAGCCATAGCAGTCACAGTTCAGATCGGTGGTGGATTGACGAACGGACACGCACACATACAACCTCTGACACATCGAATCGGCTACTAATAAATTCATAATTGTGGGTCAGTTAGTCTCATTTCGTTTAACTGACTACCTGTAGACATTGCGTTTGGCATTAAAATTGAGGTGAAATTTGTCTCCGTTGTTTTAGTTGTTTACATCGACTTAGAGTTCGACTGTGTCCGAACGTTTGGTGTGCCTGAGCCGGTACATAAGTGATGCACGATTAACGGGAAGTGGTGAAGACGATTTTACCGAGATAGCTTGGATGCCATATAGAATTTGGTTCTTCTGCTCAGAAATCGGGGTGCAGCGTTCCAGGGTCTGATGTACGCCTGACCTTACAACTACGATGAGTAATATTTGTCAAGGATATTTACAACCAAACTGTAGCATACTCAAATAGATAAAGCAGGTTCCGAATAGCTTATCTCCGAACGGAATCGCAGTCTTGGAGTCACTCAAAGTGGTTAGGGTGATCTACATAGCAAAAGCAGGCAGATAGAACTTAACAGCCATTACGAACAACTGGAAATCGAAAGGTATATCCATGAATCCTTTAAAACAGGAAAGATAAGAACAGAAAGGAACACCAGGTCTCAAGGGCCAAAATGAATGCGTGCTTGTGGGAGGTTTAGTCCACAGTGGCATCAGAATCGATCAGACTCGGGAGATTGTGTGCGCTACGAAAACGTCGCACAAATTTGACTCTTTAATTCGAACAGTCAACAGACACTACACCACCCCTCAAAGTCCTTAAACAAGCTGAAAAGATCCTGTCGACATGCACTAACAAGTCGAATTAATAATTTGTATGGTTTCATTGGCATTTCAAAAGTTGTCCACCTCATTTACGATGAAGTTGCTTCAGGTGTTGATGATTCGACACTTTTTCCCTATTTACTATCTGGCTATATCCTTCGTTTTGTAGTCCTACACAGATATTATCACTTAGTTCACAAGCCAGCTTTAGTTCCCCCTGGCTTTACGGTTGGTATTGAAGGCACCGTCTATTTTACCTTCGAAGACGAGTTCTGTGGAGAGTCAGCTCATATTCACGGGTTCGCCAAATGATTGACTGTTGTCGAACTTTATATCACAGAGACATAAACCACCACATCAGTGTGCCCGAAAACCCAAACCGAACTCACCACCCTCAGTCATCATTACTTAGGAGTTATCAGTTAGATACAATCATTTTCCCACCGGGTTTATTGGTTAGATAGTTTAAAGCAAATTAGAGGTTGCAGATATTGGGTGAACTACGTGACATAGGAATAGATAAGTGTATCATCCACCCATCAGTGGCACACTAATGACATTTTGAAATGCTATGTTTAGAGATTAAGTCGACGACAACAGTTCTATGAAATTTGCTCTGTATATCTTGTTTTTGTTGGTCTCTTTTCAGAGTCGACCATTATTCAAAACAGGCCACTTTGGGTAATTCTCATTAGACAGTGGTACTCGGTTCCAAAACTGTATCGGCTTCCCAGGCATGACGATAGATTGCCAAAAGAGGACAACTTACTTTGGCGCAAATGATTCTTTCGAAGTATGAGCTAACCCACAAGATATTCCAGAATGTAGGTGCCAACGTTTGGCGACCGTCCGCGAACTCTGTACGGGTAGCGGTTTACATCATGGAGAAGTTTGGCAGCATCATTTTTCAAAGTAACATTTGGCCATACTTAGTAACGTTTTTAGATGAACTCTGTGGTCTCATCGTCAAAATATGCAGAGGCTGGATTGAAGGATTTTCCCGTAGCTCCTTATCCGGTTCACCGGGCGTCTCCAAACCACTGCAGGCGACGTTGCTGGTTGAATGTGGGGTAAATGTATGTTCGCGTTGTCTACGCAGCCAAAGTTTAATGAGTCTTAAACCAGCGGAGAGTAAATTTTCAAAGGACCACCCCAGGCTTCATTGTAGGTATCTGTAGAGTGGACATGTTCACGCCTTGTGTTGAATGGTTGGGTCCAGTCTGAGATCAAGCTACTGGACCCGTATTTAAACTATTTTCAACGTCGTTCGTGAGTAGCCACACAAACAAGCGTTGTCCCACAATACATTCATGAAGAAAGACCACGTTTGTTTGATTTTAATTTAAATCCTTCTAATAGAGGAGGATGGATATCCTGGACCAGTGCTGCCTATGAAGTCTGATCAACAGAAATGTCCGAGCAAAGCATCACCAAGTTTCTGATTTTCATCTCCTCACGTCGTAGATCAGATAGAGCCTCTGTGTTTCAGTGACGTGCTTTACTAACAATATTGAATCTAGAAAATCAAACAGCCAGAAACCATAGCTCTCATATAGTCGTATCTTAATCATTCATTTTTAAATCATCATTGTACGAGTTCGGAATGTCGTTTTCACTGCATCGGACAACCGGAACTGAGTGAGATAGTGGACTGTAAGGAGGGATTCTCTGCAGGTGAATGGGCAGAATACGTATACAGTTCGGAGTAATTTTTTATTACCAGGCAACGATGTTAGAGTGTACCCTGTGGTGCTAAGCTGACAAAGGGACCAATCAGCGAGAGGGAATTACGTGGTCTACAGCTGCGCATTAGTTGTGCGTGAAACCTAGGCGGCGTTAAGCGAACTCCGGACGACAAGGCGACAAAAGTGTACCATTCTAAATCTCGTGGAATGTGCACTGCAATCCCAATTGCTTGAATGCATTAGTGTACTTGATATGAAGTTCGTCATTGATACTTTCCAAGGACGAAAGGTCTTTCAACATATATTCCTGCAGCTTTTCAAACACGCTTTCCAGCACGTTTATGTATGTCACATGGATAGCCTGCAGATTGACTTCGAATTGTCGTTTGTTCTCGGCCACCAACTGCTCCAAAAATTCGACTCTCTCAGTCAACTGTTTAATAGTAACCTTTGCGTCGTGAAGCTCCTTCTCCGAATTTTGTAGTTGTGTCTGTAAGCTGAACAGCGTTGCTCTGGCTTCTGCTTGAAAAGCCTTCAGAGACGTCACAATCGAAAGGATAACATGTTCCATGTCGTCGATGAGTTCAGTTGATTGTTGTTTCAACTGATTTTTCGTTTGTTGCACCTTTTTAAGAGTGGTTTCACATTTTCGGTTCGACTCTTCTGACTTGCACGCACGGAAAGCGAGCAGGCGGGCGATCAGTTGTAGCTTGTCTACTTGTTGCAGCAGTTGTTCCTCAGCTACATTTTGCTGCGGGTCCTTACTTTAAAAAGATGCAATAAGCTAAGTTCACAAAATAGCACAACAAACCCCTTATTGGCTGCCATGATCAAACAAAGCTGGTCAGGTGCGTGTCAAGGATATTTAAAACAGATCAAAATCGAACACAATGGACAAGAGAAACAGTCACGTGACTAGAGGATGGCCTGCACGCGACAATGTTTCTTCAGATGAAAATTACTGGAGCTGGTCGCGTTCTTTCTCATGGTGGTTTGTCAAGCCATTCTTTGTAAGCAAACCTACTGTCACTAACTAAACTTCGGAAGACAAAGGCCTATACTTCAATACGAAGTGTGAGAATGGATCCGGCACAAACTGCGCTGGACAACGAACAGCAATCCAATAGCGCCTCATTCACGTCTCAACCTATGGCCTGTCCGCCTATCTGTATGTGTAAGGATATAATTTGGTGGAATATGTAGTAGAAAACTCCCAAATTGTATTCCGTGGCTGCTGTAATTCCTGTATTGTGGTGCACAAACATGAGATATTTTTTAAGTTCTAGTAGCGGTCACATCTCACCGTAAATTCGACGGTTGACAAAGCCCCATATCGAAACCGTCGATATACATTAGTTGGTCAAATTGAAACATAAGCGCTCCGTCACGAAACGGACAAAAAGGAGGCATTTTCCCTGATACATAAACACTACTGCACGACAATCAGCTATTAATGCTGACCTTTCAGAACTCTTCAACAATACGGATGGGGTTATTTAAATTCCTGCTTTCACTCCGTGAAGATCCAGTTTATGCATCCCTGATTTCAGAATACACTTATCTACGAGCTTTCTTTTCATTATTATGAAAGTGAGACCATTCTCTGAATTAGCTCGTTTGGTTTCTTCGAAGAATCCCATCCTTAATAAAGATTGATTTATTTAGCGGGACAACAAAGTTGCAGTGTACATCACAAGCCTGTCAGGTGAATTATACGTCCATGATGCCAATAGTTCTGCGCAATTATATTTCATAGCGTGGTATTGCTGTCTTCATTCCGAAGTAGCAGACAAATCATTGCCACATTTCAGTTTATTCTGTTCCACTGATAGTTTAACGTCATATTCCAGGCTCCACTACGTTTATTCATGAATGATACACTGGTGAGTGCTCGAATACGACTATCGAGAGGTCACAGCAAATTAAGTATATGCACCATCTCAAAGCGCAGATGAGTATTCTATTCAACAAGTGTGTAGATTCATTGTTGGTCTGTTCGCCGAGCTTCGCAGTTGGAGTGCAATTGTTTCATCACCAATCGAGGTGCGGGGTTGACGATGTCACCTCGATTGGAGATGAAATGTTTGCAACCCAACTGCCAACCTCGCCGAACAGACCAACAACCAAGCAGCGCACCCGAGCTACCCATATTCCAAAACAGTGCCAGGTTACGGCGGACAACCTATCATTCAAAGGCAGTTAAAATGCGCACACTAGGACTGTTCTGGCTGTGCAGTACCTATGCAATGTCAGTCCGTCCTGAGTCATGTCAGCGCAATAATAACAGAACAAGCCAATTTTATGGGGACTGGCATATCACACTCGGACATTACTAGCTCCGTGACGAGGCAGTTAGAAAGCGCGTTTTCGGTTGTTCAAAGGGCACTTCCATTGAAGAATGTGTCCAGCACCAGAAGCTGCGTTGGTTGGGACATGTGTTACGTATGCCGAACCATCGTTTGCCGAA